CTATCAGGTCTGTGCAGTGTCGTATGACATCTATGTACAAGTTTCATTGAAATGTGATGATTAGTACTTGAGATATCAGTGGAAAAACCGAAAATTGACTAATCATTATGCAAATTAGGTAATTAGTGTCCACGGATTATTACCAAAAACTAATCAAAACCTAGCATTAGTTCAGAGCATCTATGTACCAAGTTTCATCAAAATCCAATGAGTGGTTGTTTAGATATCAGTGGAACAGTCATGGAACCACTAAAAAATAGCTAATTATCATGCAAATTAGGTAATTAATATGCACGGATTTTTACCAAAAATTAATCAAATCTGCGCATATGTTCAGAGCATCTATGTACCAAGTTTCATCAAAATCCAATGAGTGGTTCTTTAGATATCAGTGGAACAGTCATAGAACAGCTAAAAATTAGCTAATTATCATGCAAATTAGGTAATTAACGAGCATGGATTTTTACCAAAACCTAATCAAATCTGCGCATTGGCCCAGAGCATCTATGCACCAAGTTTCATCAAAAACCGATGTATGGTTCTTGAGATAGCAGTGGAACAGTCGGACACACATACACACACACACACATACACACATACACACATACACACATACACACATACACACACACATACAGACACACTAACTGCAAAGACTCCCATTTTGTGCTTCGCACATGGGAGTCAAAAATGAAATACATGTTATTACATTCTACTCCTCAAACTAAATTCCTGCACTCCAGTCTGGAAACAACACTCAAATCTACACAAATCTATTCATGTAGTAAATGTGGTTGAAATCCATAAAGTTTTTTTCAAATGAGTCTAAAATGCAAAACTTTATATGCAAATCTAAGTACATATTTATGCACAGATATGGATCAAAATCAGGATTAATTCACAAATATATTCTTAAATTAGGCTGAAATGAGACAATATGCAAATTAGCTACTTAATATGCACATATACAGTGTGGCCCTAAACTGACATCTGCAAATTACTTCATGGTACATGTAGCTGTGTTTCAAATTTGGTTAAAATAGGCTCTGAATTTTTGATATTTTGCTTACCGACAGACAGACATACCAAACTTATTACATCCCTTGTGCACTCACAGTAGCTAATAAAACAGCTGACGTATATAAACATACCTAAGTTTCCCAACACTTGCACACAATTTGTTCACCCTTGTAAATTGCAGCAATCTTTCTAAAGTAATGGTATCTAAGCAATCAGATGCTTCATCACTAGACGTATTGTTTTCTTCAATATCATCAGATGAATCTTCCTTATTTTGACATCTCAGAAGTCTCACATAGTATTGCACTTCTAGTAAAATAGCTTCCTCAGTTGATATCACTTTTTTGATAGGATGGATTGATTCCTGAATCTGTGGATCATAAATGTGTTAGAATATAATGTACAATGATAATTGCTCACTTCTATTTAATAAATCCTGGGATAATTAATTGCTTCTGGAAAAAAAATGAATGTTTATCATTTAAAAAATATTTGTCAAAGCCATTTGGTAATTCCTATATCCATTCATTGGCTCCAGAATCCATCTTGGTAAGGTCAATATCTAATCATTGGCTCCAGAATCCATTTGGTAAGGTCAATATCTAATCATTGGCTCCAGAATCCATTTGGTAAGGTCAATATCTAATCATTGGCTCCAGAATCCATTTGGTAATGCCAATATCTATTCATAGGCTCCAGAATCCATTTGGTAAGGTCAATATCTAATCATTGGTTCCAGAATCCATTTGGTAAGGTCAATATCTAATCATTGGCTTCAGAATCCATTTGGTAAGGCCAATATCTAATCATTGGCTCCAGAATCCATTTGGTAAGGTCAATATCTAATCATTGGCTCCAGAATCCATTTGGTAAGGTCAATATCTAATCATTGGCTCCAGAATCCATTTGGTAAGGCCAATATCTAATCATTGGCTCCAGAATCCATTTGGTAAGGTCAATATCTATTCATTAGCCATAGAATCCATTTGGTAATGTCTATATCTATTTTTTGGCCGATTCACTGCCATGCATCCATAAAAGTGATTGATAAAGTTGTTTTCAACCATCATTCAAAATTTATAAAACATTTGAAAAAAATTTAATATAATTAGCCATGCATGGCACATTCCCAGTTAGTTATCAAATTTAAGATGATTGTTTAACATTAAAAAGATTGACAATTGTATCTGATCAACAAACGAGTACTTGTCCATATTGAGATATGTTGCTCTGGAACAGTATTAATTAAAACAAAATCAGCCATTTTGAATACATGTATATATCTATAACATGATGTATAATGAATATATAAAATTCAAACATAATCAGTCAAAGCAAGTCAGAGATATGGCTTTAGAAGCCCATTCATTAAAACAAAATGGCCACCAGTCAGCCATTTTTAATCCAATCTGGAAAATAAAATGACGTACATCATGAACCTGTAATGTCTAATGTATGTACCAAGTTTGAACGAAATCAATCCATAAATGCTTGATATTTGATGATTTTTTAGCACAAAAATGGCCACCATTCGGTCATTTTGAATAGAATCATCAAACCAATATATTTGTATATATCTGACATGATGTATAATGAATGTTTAAAATTTGAACATAGTCAAAGCAAGTCAGAGATATGGCACTAGAACCACATTCATTAAAACAAAATGGCCACCAGTCAGCCATTTTGAATCCGATCTGAAAAATAAAATCAAGGTCCCATAATGTCTAATGTATATACTAAGTTTGAACAAAATCCAACTGTAAACAGCCAAGAAATGCATGATTTTGATGATTTTTTAGCACAAAAATGGCCATCATGTATGATGTATGTGTGAAGTTTGATTGCGATTGGTACGGCATTTCTAAGATACAGGTCTGGATGCATGGACGCACAGAAGCACAGACACACGGATGTACAGAGGTCAAAACATAAGTCCCTGTTTTTGGACTGCGTCTGAACGGGGACTAAAAAACATTCACGCCTTCATGAAATTCACTGTAATCAAAATTTAAGTAGTACGCAGCAGAGTTCAGTTTGTTTTGTCTTATTCAGTTTTGTCTTTCTTCAAGCTTTATTTTTAGTTGATGTTCATTTCACCCATGAGTTATTAAAAAATTATTATTAACAGGAGCTAAAATACTTACCAATAGATATGGCATCCTATTTTCACTTACAATAGGAATACGTTCTTTACAGCTTTTAATGAACACTGCCATTTGAGAGCACTGACCAAGATGCTGTGTTCCATCAGGGCCTGCACCTACACCAGAGTATGTGACTATATAGTTATACTGATCAGCAATTGAATTACCCCTGAATGAACAAACACAACATAATAGCATAACTATTCCGGCCAATTCCATCATGATCTTCATCCTCATAGAACTCAGGAAAATTGCAGGTTTTGTTCCTATGTGGGCTAAACACATGCGTAACATGCAAATCTGTTCATTTTAACCTGTGTAATTACCCTCAGTATATATATCCCATGATATTTTCACTTATGTTGACATCAGCAGACACAAGTGATTAATTCCAGAGTTTGGTATTAATCTGAGTTGCAGGCAGTAATCATGCATATAATGTTGACATCAGGGTGTGATATTTCAAGCCTTGCATATGCTGTACTGTGATTTCATCGGTTCGTTTGTTTGTGATATTTGCTCAAATTCATTAGGATTTTTTTTAAATTTCAACCAATATTTTGGAGGGAATGAATAATAATTCTGAAATTAATAATTTTGACATTTTCTGACCATGATTTGACATTGACAATTTTCGGGATATATTTATACCCATCTAATTATGGTTGTGTTATGTTAACAGTGATAGTTCATCTTTTCTTGGTAGTTAGCTTTTAATTTTTAGTCTTAAGTGATATTGTTTTATATTATAATATTGTTCTATATTTATGTAATTCATTGTAATATTTATTATTACTTTGTACTGTAACCATTTAATTAATTCTTAGAAATTTAAACATTTTCAATAAATGTTCAGCAACAAAAAAAATGTATAAAATGCAGATGAGATCATATTCATTGGAAGTGCCATATCTGATAACTATCATACTTAATTGAAAAATTAACTTACCATTCTTGAAACTGCTGTCTTGTCCATTCAAAGCGATGATCCCAGTGTCTAAGTCCCTGAAAGTCTTTGAACAGAACATTAAAATCTGCATTTGGTGTTGTCATGACAACAACATTTGGTTGAATTCGATGAAATATATTTTCACGTAAAGCTTCCAACACTGGAGGATCTAAATGCTCAATCCTAAAATAGATGAAATACCAAAAAGGTCATTTTCAAAAAATTATAGGATTTTTTTGTATGCTTCATTGTCTTCATCCCACTGGTAACTTATTTATTTTATATTTTTTCAAATAGCTGTAATATTTACTCACAATTCAACACATGCCATCATATCACAGTTGCTTAATCTGCTGTCATAATCTGCCACTGATCCACACAGGATTATCACACTTAATGGATTATCTCTTGGATATAGATAATCTGATATCAAAGGTTGTCCAAGATGTTGATTTGATTCTAGTGCCAGATTATCAATATCCACACCAATCAGTTCTTCTATGTACGATTCATTTTTCAGTTTTCTCAGTAATTTGCACTCAGAGCATCCCATGTCAACCACCTGGAGATACAGAAACAGATCGAGCTTTATAATTTGCACTCAGAGCATCCCATGTCAACCATCTAGAGATACAGAAACAGGGTTTTATAATGGCCTGATTGTGAACTATGAAAACTAAGATAATAAGTAATTTTACTTTTAATAATGTATTTTTGTACGCTATTATAATCATGACTAAGAAATAATCAACTCCAAAACAAGTAAATTATTCCCCTGTGTAGCATGAGTGCATGGTTTACACGGCAGTGATTGTTTGCTACTAAATCAATCTGCTGTTGTTTTATTTATTAGAAACTTGTACTATACTTTCATTTACCAAGAAAACTAACACCAATGCACATATAGTAAAAGCATTTATTTTCATGTACATCTGACATTTATTTTCACTATTTTGAAGTTTTGAGAATATTTACTGTGTTTTAATTTCACAAATTTATCAAATTTTTTTTTTTGGGACTGTACAAATTTTAATTATAATATTGATGGTATTATATTTATGATATTTTGTATTTAGGGTATAAAAGGTAGAACTAGCAGTAAAATTGCACAAAAAAAGCATCCCATTAACTATGACACTGAATGAAATATATAACAAAATGCCTGTAAGATTTTATAAAGTAATTGACAAGAACATACAAAGCGTTACATATACCAAATTTAAACACAATCAGTCAAGAATGTCAGAAAGAAATAAAGGTAAAAACACTAGACACAAACCAACATAATAATTGCTATTCAATCAGTTTACATGTACATAATGCGT